GTTGATATTCCCCAAACTGGTTCTCCTTCCGTATTTTTACACTCTCCATTGAAAAAGGTTTTTAAAGAACCAACATGAGTAGGAAGTTCTTCAACAACTGCCAATTTTTGAGCATTTAAGTCATCTAATGAAATTGTCATTTCTGTCATATCTTTACAAGACGTTCCAGTCGAATAAATTACATTAGAAGGATTTATTTTATACTTATTAAAAGTATCATAGCCCATATTGTAACACACGTTATCTTCAAAAACTACTTGCATATTCATTGAAGCATCTGTTACTGTGTTGATTATGTACGATGACATGGAGCCAAAGACAAAGGCGAAGAGTAAAAGTTGCATACAATTGATAAATAATAACAGTTCGAAGTTTAAATAGAGTTGATTGGAGAGACCGCTAATAGATCATAAGGTTAAATATCAAATGATAATGCAAAATTAAAACTATCAAATTAAAAAATAACAAATTAATAAATAAAAAATTATACATTTTAAAAGGGATATAAAATCAATATACTTTTAGTAAATAAGGAATCCCTCATTGGTTTGTATCTTTCAAAAGATTGGTTTTCTTTCGAAGTAATAGTATTTATTTAATTATATTTTAAGTTCAATTAATTATTAGTGATGATAATTGAAAAACATGATGATTAAAACATTTTAAATAATAGTGAGTGTTTTGGGTTTTAACCCAAAATGTTTATTTTTTATTAAAATATTATTATTATAGTAACACATATAATAATTAATTTAAGACATATGACTGTATAACACCCATCCACTGGACACATACAGATACCTGAAAAACCGACCGGCAAACTATAAAAATAGTTTCTAAAAACTATTTAATAGTTTTTTTAATGCAAAATTAGAAAAAACAGGACAAAAAACTAAAAACTATAATATACTATAAATTTATGGTTTGCCGGTCGGTTTTTCTGTGCCGGACTATTTTTCGGGTATCTGTATATCTATTTTTTCTATCCACTGGACAAACCATTTTCCATGGATGGAAAATATAAAACTTATATAAATAGATTATTTGTTTTTTATGTAAACAAAAATTATTTTGTCGAATTATATTTTTATAATATTTGTGAATTTATAATAATATAGGAATGTATTACAAACGTTAAAACAATAGTAATTAGGAACAAAATTACCAAAGTATATCGCAGTATAAAAAACAATGTACATATTTAAAAAGGTAATCATATTAGATCAAGATATTATTAATGAAATTACAATAAAATACCAAACGTATCAAATATCATAATATTAATTTCCACAACGTTGTAATTAAATCAAAAACCCAATTAAAAAATAAAAAACTTTCAAACAAAAACACAACTAAATTGGTTGTTTGTTTTTGTTGTATATTAAGTCGTCTATGAAATCAATATTGACAATCTTTTGTTATTTCAGTGTTTTTTCTTGACATTTTGATGTGAACAAATATATTCAACATTAATACAAATGTAAACTATAATACACGTTTATCAATAGCATTATTAATAGTGTAATTATACTTATATTTAGAAATTTACTTAACAATAAACATAAATAATATCTAAGTGACCAATAAAGTAACAATTAAATTTTTCCAAACAATTTCAATTTATTACTAAAACATACGCAATAGAAAGTATATTAAAAATACATAGTTAATTTATTAAATTTAATTTTTGAAACATTTCAATTGTTTTCAGTTTTAAAAATCAAAACACATAAAATGTAGATAAACAACCATATATAACAACACTAACATCTAATAAAAAAATATCAAGTTCTGATACATATATACTTGAAATGTATTAATATGTAAAACTAAACTGAGAATATAATTGTTGATTCATGATTAAATATTATAACACTTATTCAAAAAAAATTATTTGTAATTGTCATGTATTTACACATACCAATAATATAATTATATATTTATTAAAATATTGCATTAAACAGAAAGACCATCTTTTATGTTGTAATTGTTGAAAAAAATTAAAGTATGTTAAATATTTAACATACACAGAAAAGAACAGAATCAACTTCCTTTTCTTGCAGCATATTGTTTTAAAAGTTATAACTAAAATAAAATAAATAAAGTATAATAAATTAAAAAGTTTTCATGTTGTATATGAAAACTTAAATATACAGTACCTTACATTTTATTATTTTAATAACATTTTATTTATAAAACCTAAAAACGGTCAATAAAAAAAGCATATTTTATTATTTTCAAAAGTTTTTATTTTGTGTTTTCTATTTTTTGTTATTTAATGTTATTTTAAAAATTGTAGGAAATGTATTACTTTTTATATAAAACAAAAGAATTGTTATTTTTATAAATAATTATCATTATAATCAAGTTTTTTAGAATTGGTTTGAGCACAACAAGAAATTAAAAAGTGTAATTTTTATTCAAATACTTTAAATATAGAGATTTTATTTGCTTTACTAAAAAATGTTAATTAACAGTTAACAGACAGCGTTTTCAATTATTCACATTTTAACAATTTAAATAAAAAAATAACATTTATACAATAATGTCAATACAAATGTAATTATTGAACTTACTTTCCATATGTAAAGTATTTGTCTAATGATTAAATGTGTTGATTAACTCTTAAACTATAATAAATTGATTACAATATCTTATATACATGTATGCTTTAGCCACACGTTAAAACCAAAATTGTTTTAAACTGTGATATTCTATTGATTTCGAAAAAGTTTAAATATAATATAAGGCATCTTTTGTATTTAAACACAACACCTTAAACTATAACCATTAATTATTATTACTTCACTCGGGGTTGAAAGCAATATTTTTTTTAGGGTAGTTATT